TTATTCCCAACTCTCCAAAGAGGATTGACTCAGAACCAATTTTCAGGAACCCTTATAAGAGGCTTGATCCCAGAGCCTCTTCTCTAAGGCTGTGTGTATCCTCTCTAAAGTGTAGCTGGTCTGGTGGAAGAGGAGCTGAGTGTCAGAACCTTGCAACACTGTAACCTGTTATCTCATATAGTGAACAAAATATACAAAAGTACAGGTAGATCCTGCTGGCTACTGTCCGGAGGTATCAATTATGAGCATATATTGTATGGAGCTCTCTCTCTCTCTCTCTCTCTCTCTCTCTCTCTCTCTCTCTCTCTCTCTCTCTCTCTCTCTCTCTCTCCTGAGACAGGGTTTCTCTGTTTAGCTCTGACTCTCCTAGAACTCTCTCTGTAGACCAGGTTGGTCTTGAACTCAGAGATCCACCTGCCTCTGCGCCACCACTGCCAGGCATAGGGAGCACTTTCGTGCAAATCTCATTTAGTCCTCCTAGCACTCTGACAGGTCTTAACTACCTTTCCACTTTACAGATGAAGAAGTTGACAGCAGAACAGGCCGTTTGTTTATTGTAATATAGAGTAAAGGTTAAGCAGGTGTGGCGGCCCACACCTGTAATCCCAGAGCTCAGAAGCCAGAGGCAGGAGGATGGCAGCAAGTTCTTTGTCTCAAAAATACTAATAGGAAGAGGAGAAGGAGGAGGGGAAGAAAGACAGAAGGAGGAAGGAAGGGAGGGGAAGGGAAGGAAGGAGGGGAGGAGAGGGAAGGGAAGGGGAGGGGAGGGAAGGGGAGGGGAGGGAGGGAGGGGACAGGGAGGGGAGGGGAGGGAAAGGAAGGGGAGGGAGCTGGGTCACCACCAGTCCTCTGACTTCCAGGCATGGACTAGGCTCTCTCTCTCTCTCTCTCTCTCTCTCTGCACAGTGCTGCTGCTGCCTGGCTCTGTTTCTCTCCCCCTCCCCCAATCTTACAGACAGGAGTTTCATGTTCTCCTGTGTTAGTGACCTGTGGTGGCGACTCTCTTGTTAACTCACTTTCCATACCTGGTCAAACTTGAAAGGTCATTAGAAAGAAGCAGAAAGATAAAGGATGGGGCTTCCAGCGAGAAAAGAAGAGGACAAACAAGACAAGCGCTCCATGGGGCACGGAGAAGGAAGGGGTGGGTGAGGAGAGAGAGAAGCTCCCGCATTCTGTGCCCAGGCTGTAACGGGGCACAGACAGGGCCTCCATTGTGTGGGTACAAAGGAGCCATATGTCTGCCGGTCTACTGCACTGCGTGTGTGTGTGTGTGTGTGTGTGTGTGTGTGTGTGTGTGTGTGTGTGTGTGTCTGCACACGCATGTGCAGGGAGGACTGGCTTAGAGACCCCGTCCGGAGCCCTTGGAGCCTTGCCTTCTGCTGTCACTGAGTTAAGGCTTTCTGAGATAGAGGGCAGGGGAACAATTACATAGAAGACAGGACTAGAAGATCAGGGCCTGTAGTCGGGGGTGATCAGCTGCAAGAGACCTAAAGAGGAAGAAAGAGATAGTGTCAGACTGTCCCTCACCTGGATCCAACGTAATTGCACCTCTTAGCTGACATCCCCTTCACTCATACCCTGCTGGCTCTGGGTCTCGGTTTTCTTTTTCTTTTTCTTTTTGTTTTGTTTGTCTTGTCATCTTATTTTGTCTCTTCTTTTGGTTTTTCATTTGTTTGTTTTTGAGATTAGGGTCTTGCTATGTAACTGGTTGGCCCAGAACTCTCTGCAAAACCAAAACTGGCCTCCAACTTGGGAGCATCTGCTTGTCTCTACCTCTTAGTGCTGGGATTCCCGGCATGAGTCCCGGCATGAGTCACCGTGCCCTCCTCTGGAGCAGTGCGAGATGAGCTGTGCTGTTCTAGTCCTGTCCTCTCTCACTGCCTGTCAGCTTTGCAGCGGCCACTTTCCTTTCCTCCCCACAGCCCAGGGACTGCCCTCTCCCTCACCGCTCCTCTCTACCCCCTCCCATCTCCAGTTCTCTTCTCTCCGCACCCCCCCCCCTTCCCTGTCTTGCCATGCAGAGCAGAGCGGCAGCCGGGGCCAATTGATTATCTGGAGAAATTCGGAGTGAGCAGGACAACAGCTGCAGCCGCCCTCTCTCATGGCCCTCAGGCCCTGAGGGACCTGGGAGGGGAGGGTCCCCTAACCCTCTGCTCTCCATCCTGCGGGGGAGGAGGTGGTCCCTGAGCACAGAGGCATACCCAGGACCCCGGGGCCTGTCTGCCATCATAGTGAGTGACATCACTTTTCTGGATAGGCACCTGTCTTTGAAACAAAGGTGTTACCAGGCATGGCGGCACACACCTGCAATCCAAGCTTTCTGGAGCCTGAAACAGGTGGTTGGCAAGTTAAAGGCCAGCCTGGGCTATTTAGTGTGCCTTTGTGTCACAATGAGTGAATAAATAATCAAAGGTGCAGGCACCCTTGTATTTCTAGCCCTGGGGAGACTGAGGCAGGAGAATGGCAAGTCAGAGACCAGGCTGAGCTATGTAGTGATACTTGGTCTCAAGTTAAAAAAAAAAAAACGTTAAAAATTAGGGCCAAGTAATGGTGGCGCACGCCTTTAGCCCCAGCACTTGGGAGGCAGAGGCAGGTGGATCTCTATGAGTTCAAGACCAGCCTGGTCTACAGAGCAAGTTTCAGGACAACCAGAGCTACACAGAAAAACCCTGTCTTGAAAAATAAACAATCAAACAATTTTAAAGGAAGGGAGGTAAGGATGGGGGCAAGGGCTGAACCCAGGGATCGTCTGGGGTCCTCCCACGCTGCCACTTTGTAGCGTTCAGGTTTTCCTGGCCTTGGCTCAGCCCACCCTCTTGCCAGGCTCTGGGCATAGGATATTTCATTTAACTCACACGCAAAAGAGAAGGCACTAAATCTTGGCAGTCCCTTTCCAATTCTAGTATAAACCCCTAGTAGTCATGCATTCTGTAGTCACCCTTCAAGTACTGGAGACTGTCTCAGTGTGTCTTCCCACTGCTGTTACAGTCGGTCATCTTACATGGCCCGAAGAAGGAAAGCCTCTTCCACCGTCTCTAGCCAGAGTTCCATCTGGAGTAAGAACGTGCTCTAGGAGTCTTTATAGACTAGACGCTCCAGTCCCCTGCTTGGATTCCTCTTTATAGGGCAGCTGACTGGGAGGCTGTACAGTTCCAAGCACTACAAAACCTGCTGGGGTTGTTCTTGGAACTAAAATCTGTTATCCTCTAGTCTCTACTGAGTGGGCACGATTCTAACTTCTGGAGGCACACAGAATGTCCACTTTTGTTTCTTTGGTTAGTATTTGAAGGTGAGGATGGTTTTACCTCCGAATCCACTCTTTGCTTGCTTTGTTTTCTGGGACAGGCTCTCACATATCTCAGAGTGGCCTCAACTGTAGCTGAGAATAACTGATCCAACTGCCTCCACCTTGGAGTGCCAGGGTTAGAGGCGTGCATCCAACCCCTTTTATGTGATGCCAGGGGTCAAGCCCGGGTTTTTGTGCATGCTAGGCATGCACTTTACCAACTGAACTGCCCCTAACTGTACTACAAAAAAGTGTGTGCGTGCGTGCGTGCGTATGTGTATATACATAGTCTAGCCCCTTTTATCAAGACAGACCCCTACCTCTTCCTCCTCCCCCTGCCCAGTGGTACAGCTCTTGCCTACAACGTGTGAGGCCTCTGGTCCTATCTCCAGCATCAAACCAAAAACAAAACAAAAGCCCCAAATGTATTTTCTGTTTTCCTTGTGGTGTGATTGCCAGACCTTGCACCACCACTGCCCAGCGACCTTTTGCCTTCTTAACCATGCAATAGGCCCCTCTGTTTTATCAGAGTTCCTGTTAAAAGTAAGGGGCCCAAATGTCAGGTTGGGTCATTTTAGAGAGGCCAGGATTTATCGATAAACAGGTGTAATTCTAGCACTTGGGAGGTTAGCAGGTGGAAAGATCTCAAACTTAAGATTGTCTTAGGCTATGTGTCAAGTTCAAACAAGCCTGGTTTGCAAGAAATTGAGTTTTAAGAAGGCAAAGGCAAGTGTGTGTGTATGGGGTGCACACCTTTAATCCCAGCATTTGAGAGGCAGAGGCAGGCGGATCTCTGTGAGTCCCAGGCCAGCCTGGTCTACAGAGGCAGTTCCAGGACAGGCTCCAAAGCTATAGAGAAACCCTATGTTGAAAAACTAAATAAATAAATACAATGAAGCCAGCCTGAGCTACATGAGACCCTGTCTTCAATCTGCCCACTTGTCCCCTTCCCACAAAAGAAACCGAATCTGAGTCTTAACTGTGTCCCTAATAGCTGTGTGACCTTGGGCAAGGCTGTCTGATTCTGGGCTTAAATGTCTTTATCAGTTGGTTTTAGGGTCTTTTCTAGAATCCCTCTGATGTCAATTCAGCAACTTCTCCCCCTTTGCTATTTTTGGGCGGGATCTGAGGCTAGACTTGAACCCATGACTGCCTGCCTCAGCCTAGACTTGAACCAGTGACTGCCCGCCTGCCTCAGCCTTACAAACCCAGCCCCTCAATATTCATTCTCTCAGTATCATGCCCTCCATCATGCTCTATCCTTCATCTAACCCTGGAAAGCATAGGACAGGCCAAGAGCTGAGGTTTCAGTTAATGTTGACCTAGCCTGGAGATGCTAAAAGAAAAGGCAGTGCCTTGATTTTATACCACGGCTTTCTCCAGCAGCATGGACCTACAGATACGGGTTTAACTTGGGTTCTGTTGGCATGCTCAGTTATCTTCTTTCAAGACCAGAGTGAAAAGAATCTGAAAACGGAAAGCTTCACTCAGTGACTTCTAAGATGGAATGTGTGGGGTTTCCGGTAGGAGACCCGGAGCCTACGCATGATTTCTTTTCTCTGTATTCCCTCTTCTCTGTCTTCGTTTACCTACCACACAAAGCTCTCAGGATACAGACACTCTGAAGAGGCTTCAATGCCTAGGACCCTCGGTAGCCACCTTACATAAGCTTCAGGCCAGCTTCCCAACACAAAGCAGCCACAGCCACATCCGGTTCTAGATCGAGGTCACTTTAATTTTTCTTTTTGTAAGAAATTAGGAATGTAACCAGAGAGAGACTTACACACAGGCCACCAGACACAGACCCTGGGGTCTGCTCTTGGTGGTGTTGGAAAAAGCGGGTCGATAAACGGAATGGAGGTGGATAGCACTGGAGTGGGATTGTCAGGGTCAGAGGGGCTGAGAGAGGACACCCGGAAGGTGGGAGGCTGGGGGAGGAGCACTATTCCAGGAAAGGGGACTGGTATGGTGGATGAAGGGATCCCCACACATACCTGCCCTGGAGAAGGAGCAAGAAAAGGAAGGAAGTTAGCAGGGGGGGGGAAGGAGAGTCCCAGCTAGAGCCAGCTGTGGGGAGTCCTCCTCACCATACCCCAAAGTGCATAACTCAGTAATAAATAGTAATATTTATAAATAAATAAATGAATAAATAAATAAATACATAAATAAATATCCTTGTAGAGTTAGGAGTTTGGTGTGAGGGCGGATGGAGCGCGAAAAAGCATGAGTTCATTTTTTTTCTTCAGGGATTCTTAGGCCCATCTACTCCAGTTGCACAGGCTACCATGGGCAGGTGGGGCTCATGGGCGGGGCACCTTCCTCCCCACGGCAGCTTAAGAAAGGAAGGGGTGGAAATAAGAAGGCCCCAGAGCGTGCACAGGGGGCAGTAGCAGGCATCCCTTCGCGTCTGAGGGAGGAGCTGATGGGGCTGGCGTGTTCTCAAGGTCTTCGGGATGGGGCTGGGAGCAGCTGCTGCAGTGATGCCCCGCCCAGGGCCTGGGCCTTCCCTAAGGTGCCCTGGGCTGTTTGGAGATGTCATTGTCATCCAGGACTGAGGTTTTCCTTCTTCTAGCCCGCACAGGGAAGGGGAGAAAACTGGAATGGCAGACCATGGGAAGGGTCAGGGGAGTGGCCAGACAGCTCCAGGAAGGCAAGGCACTCACTACCAAGTAAGATCTGAGGTCTGTATATTCTAAGCCTCAGGAACGAGATAGACAAAGGAAAGGCAGACTTTTTCTATGACCCCTGGCTACCCGGGAGTCACCTCACTCATTTCTCTGTGTCCCAAGAGCCCATCCCTCCCCGCAGCCATGGCTAGAGAGGTCTGGGACTTAGGAACCCACTCCCCACTCTGCCCCTGGCCATTTCCCCTTCAGATTCTGATGCTGGGTCCCATCATGGCCAGAAGAGAATCTGGGTCTGGGGTCTCTGAAAACTTGGACATAGAGGAGAAGAGGCAGCAGCTGAGTCTGGGTTAGTAAATCCAGCAAGGACTCCATTCTGACCACTGTGGCAAGCAGCTCCGACCAGCTAGGCCCTAAAACTCTCTGAAGGAACCCATGAGAACATCCCTCACATGCCTAGGTCAATGAAAAGAAGCTGGCCTTCAGGGCCAGTGGTGTGGGCCCGGTGCTCTGGGATGGGAAGGAGCCGGCCATTCTAAGTAATGTGTGGTGTCAGGGGGCTCTGGAGAGGCCCCGGGGGGGAGGGGGAATCCAGAGAGGGAGGCGGGCTGAGCTCAGACATCCAGCACGTGATTCAGGTAGGAGATATAGCAGATGGCCAGACGCAGGATCTCAATCTTGGAGAGTTTCTTGTCTGGGGGCAGAGTGGGCAGCAGCTTGCGCAGCTCGGCAAAGGCCAGATTGAAGGCTTCCACGCGGATGCGCTCCCGCGTGGCATGTGCGGTGCGGTACTTGGCCGTGGCGCGGCGCCGGCGCCTGCGCTCCTCCCGGCTCAGGTGCTGCAGGTCTTTGCGGCCGGACTCTCCGAGCTCCGAGCTCCGGACCTGGCCCACTCCGGGATCCCCCGACCCAGCACCATCCGGGCCAGGCCCGCCCCCACAGTCGCTAAAGCCCGACTCGGTCTCCGAGTGGGTGGGAGGCAGGTCCAGCTCCATGGTGTCGGAGTTAAGCATCATGATGGAAGCCTCCGGCCTAAAGAAAGGCGGATCACCTCCCTACCCCTCCTGCTCTGCTCTGAGCTTGAAAACTGGGCTGTGGTAGATGCAGGAAGGGCCTGGAGTGTCGGCCTCGGCCACTGAGCTCAGGAAAACAGGGTCACTTCAAGGTTCCATGGTCAGTATTCCAGCCTGGAGCCTGAAACAGAGAAGGAGAATTAAGAACTGACCGCTGATGGGGTGGGCAGTGAGAGCTGGGAGAAGAGTTGAGTGTCGGGGCTGTCCAAAGCTAGCGAGAGCAGCAGGTGGAAAGGAGTAGGAGGAAAATAGAGGAAAGAGAAAGTACTAGGAGAGACACAGCAGACAAGCTAACACTGAATGAGAGAACCGAAGACCTAAAACCGTTGAATTCCTAGAAGAAAACAGGGGAAATCTTTCGAGACATTGCATTTGGCAGTCATTTCTTGAGTATGAGAACAGAAGCATAAGCAAAATTAAAAAAAAATAATTACACCAAACTTAACTGTAGTTCCTAAGGAGAACAATTACCACAGTGAAAATTCAACCTATGGAATAAGGAAATGGTCCTGAACCATACATATATCTGATAACAAGTTCGTATCCACAGCATATAAACACGTTCCTAGCCAGGAGTGGCAGCATATGCCTGTGCAACCCCAACACCATGAAAACTGAGGCAGGGGGATTATGAATTTGAGACTGGATACACACTGACAATCTCAGAAGAGGGAAGTTGGGAACAACCAAAAATATGGCATAAGCTAATTTTAAAGTGGGGAGAGGACTCGACAGACACTTCTTCAAAGGTGACGCACACACGGCCAACAACATGCTTATGAAAATACATGTCACACCACTGATCACTAAAAATGCAAAGTAAAACCACAGTGAAACGTCACCTCACATCCACGAGAGACAGAAAGAGAAAAGGAAAAAGAAAAACAACAAAAAACCTAAAACAGTCAGTGTTGGTGAGAATGTGACGAAGCAGGACTGTAAAGTGCTACGGAAACAGCTTGGGTGACCCTCAGGAAAAGAGGAAACTGCAACCACGGTTCGCACTCGTGATATGGACACACCCATGCTCCTAACAGAGGCAGAATCGACTCAGATGCTTGCCAGTGGGGGAGTGGATGAGCAGAACCCAAACGCGACTCTCCGTAACAGACCATGAGCTTTGAACAGGACCGGGATCCCTGTCGCACTGCAGCGCCGATTAAACCTTGGCGACATTACACTAGTGGAGTAAGAACTCACAAAAAGACAAGTCCTATGATGCCACTCGTTTAAGTTCCTAAAGTTGTCTAATTCATAGAATCAGAAAGTGGCGGCCAGGGGCTGGAGGGAGAGGCAAAGGAGAGCTGCTTTATAAGGAGCGAAGAATTTCACATTCACAAGACGAGGAAAAAAACATTCTGGAGGTCAGTTTCACACTCTCGGGCTCTACCCTCGTTTTTTGTGATAGCAAATTTTTTGTTATGTATTTTTTTGGAGGGGCTTAATAATAAACAAGGAGAAAGGCAGAGCGACAGCCCCTAGGGAAGCTGTCTGTAACTCTAGCCCTTTCCCAGTAGTAAGGGAAAGACTGCGAGCCTTGGCTTGGGAACCTTCTGCCCCTTGTTTCTTGCAGGGGGAGGGGACACAAACACAGACTGGTCGTTGTTGGGTGAACTGGGATACATGGAGCTCGGCACAACTTCCTCAGCTTCACCACTGCCGACATTAGGTCCTACCACCCTGTCCATTAGAACCAAAGAAAAACATTCCTTCTCAGCACATTCTGCTGCTTGGGACCAGCAGATTCCCCGGCTCAGTCCTCCACACATTTAACCCTTGTCATTCTAAGGCCTCTTGGAAATTCTGCAAGGAAGACTGTGGAAAACTCACTCACAACCTGTGCCGTGGCCTGCAAAGAAGACCTAGGAAGTTTCTTGGAGCTACCCTTATGGAGACGGCTAAGTTTGCTTGTCCCAGAATCCTGGGTCTTTCGCAGTGAGCTCAAGCCTTATTAGAAACAGACGTACTGCGGCTCCTTCCCAGTCACCATCTCCTTCATCCCCAGCCCCGGCTCTCCATCTGACAGACAGTCTCATGGGACCACCCTTCCTCTGAGGCTCGCCCCTATCCCACCACACAGAAGACAGGTTTGAGATCAGAGCAGTTACTGGGGCACAAGACCACCAGCACCTGATGGTGGAGAGACACCTACACACCAGCCACAACATGAAACAGAAGCCGATCAAAGTTGTAATTATGAACATACTATATATCCCAGAATCCAAAGAAAGAAGAGAGGAGAGAAATAGTGTAAGGTGGTAGGAGAGCATTTCCGCATTTCCCAGTACATGTGGTGCCCCTAACTCCCCACTGCAAGGTGGGCTGGAACCAAGAGTTCAGCCTTGGGGTTCCCGGTACTTCTATCACAACTGGAACCCCTCTCTGTCCAATACCCTTTCCCCTGCATCCTCCGTCACTCTCTGATGCCCTCCCCTTCTCTCTCCTGCTCCCCATCTGTCATGACCCATCTCCACCTCTACTCCCTCTGCCCTCCTCCACCCCCAGCAGCAGCTTCTATTTTCCCATCAAGTCTTTCCTCCACGTCTGGTCTCAAAGTCCAGGGGCTCCAGGGAACAGGGAAGCAACAATTCCAAGCATCCAAGACAGGGATTCCCACTTCCTCCAACTGCAGCTGACCCAGGCTGCACAAAGAATCGAAGAGACGTGGAAAGAGAGAGAGGCAGAGGTTGAGAGAGACCCAGTGAGGGGAAGGTTCCGGGAGGGGACTCCAGCCAGAGATGGGGAGTGGCATGCCCACCCTTCCCCAGCCCATGGTTCCCCCTTACCTAGAAGGACTCTGCCAAAGGATCCAAGCGGGTGAGCGAGGGGGACAGTGTGGAGAGCTCCAGTCTCTTCGGGCTGCTCAAGGGTCATCTGTCTGCAAAGTTAGTGACCAGTTTCTAGAGCTTTTAGGGACAGCTTGTGGCTAAACAGGCCCCAGGACAGATGAGAGGGTTACACATGGTGGAGATGTAGGGCCTCGGCAGAAGGCGTGATCTTAGTCAAGCACTGGCGTCACCCACACTCACCCTCACACCGAGGCACACACTCACACACACACACATGCACACCGAACTGGCCCAGCCTTATGTGTTTATATGTGTTTATATGTATGGAGACACACACACACCCCCAGCTCTCCATTGGCTGGCCCAGGCAGCCCCCTCATCAATATTAAACAGCCAGGCCAGGCAGCCATTGGCAGAGAGATCTAAGAACCCCTTGGGAGCTGGGGGCGGGGGCTGGCCCTGAGGGGGGCGGGGAGTGGGGGAGCAGGGACATCTGTTCTCCATGCATATTTCATAAGCAAGAAATAGAGAGCTGGGGAAGGGGTGGGGCTGGGGCGAGAGCCAGGGCAGGACCACGGATGAACCCCCCTCGGTCTCCACACTAGAGGTGGCAGAGCAGAGCCTCCAAAGAAGCTGGATTCAAAATAGTCCCATTCTGAGTCCCAGAGTGGCTTAGATGGCCCCTTCCTCGTATCTCCCTTCTCCTAAGCACCAACAGTGAACCTGTGAGCAGACTAAGAGCACTGAAATGTGGAAGAGGACCCGAAAGTCCTCCCCTAAGTAAGTTCCCATACAGACAGTATTCATAGCTCAACGTGCTGCCTCCATACTGCTCAGGTCCTAGCCCTGTCATCCTGGGACTCAAGCACCCCGCCAGTCTCTTTTCCAGGACCCATTCTCCCACATACCCCATCACCAGGCCAGGAGTGGGGTCAGATTCTGGATAGAGCCCCCACCCCACCCCCATGGGAAGTTTTTCTAGACTGGCGAGCCCAAGCTGATCCACGGAGAATCAGGGGCTTGGGAAGAAAGTGGTAAGAGCTAATAGGAGGTCGGAGATCCAAGAGAGGCGGAACGGAGATCGGAAGGACTGGAGGAGAGGAGGGCAGGTCAGCCCAGGCTGCCTGAGTGTGCAGGCCATCAAATGAGCATCAAGAAAAGGAGATACAAAACCATGTGCAAGCCGGGCGTTGGTGGCGCACGCCTTTAATCCCAGCACTTGGGAGGCAGAGGCAGGTGGATCTCTGTGAGTTCGAGGCCAGCCTGGTCTACAAGAGCTAGTTCCAGGACAGACTCCAAAGCCACAGAGAAACCCTGTCTCGAAAAAACCAAAAAAAAAAAAAAAAAAAAAAAAAAAAAACATGTGCAAATGAGCACTGATTACGTTCACACCAACAGCCCAGCGGCCTCCAGGGTCCGTGCCTGTGCATGTGTGTGTGTTTGTGTCTGCGTGGGTGCATTGCAGGGTGGCCTGCGAGGAGAGCAAGTTTCTGGGGCCAAGGGAAGCACAGAGGAGCAGTGGGCTGGGTTTCCGCATGGAAACTCTCCCGTGCATTCAGCTGTAGGACGTTTCCATTGAGCCTCAGTGTCAGAAACAAACCATGACTGGAGAGACTCCAGACACAGTGAGCTACAGAGAAAGGGACTCTGTTAGCCGTATGACCTTGAACAAGGAATGACCTTTGAGCCTCAGTGTCTTTTTTCTTTAAAATAGGGTAAATTAAAACTGTTTAGGTTGCCATGGAGATAAACTGAGGTAATGCGTGTAGTTAGTGTAGACCCTGTAGGAGCCCAGGCTGTGGGAGGGATTAACCACTTCCCGTACCTTCTCAACCTTTCCCGGGCTTTCTCCAGGGTGAGGCCTTTCCTATAGGGAGCCCTATAATTCCTCCCCAAGCTCACCCTCCTCCCCCACCCCCAGGCCTGGGAGGTGCCAACTCCCACCTGGGCAGGCCCAGACAGGTGCCCAGGCGCCAGCAGATGGGTTGAGCTGGAGGGGAAAGAGGGCCTGAGGAGGGGGTGGGGGGGCAGGGGATCAGGTGGCGGCTTGGTTCTTGCATCATCATTACCATGGTGCTGATTAAAAACCAATCTCCACCTAATGAGCCCCCAGCAACAACAGTCCCGTTTCCCCACCCTCCTGCCCTCCAACCCATCCAAGAAGTTGGGAGACTGAGAATCGGGAGAAGGTGCCATGGGAGAGACGAGAGAAGACAGGGAGAAGCAGAGGACAAAGATGGAGAGAGGAGGAGATGCTGAGACACGGAGGAGACATGGAGAAAAGGAAGGGTGTCCTCACAAGATGAAGACAGAGACATAGGGGAGACAGGCAGAGGAGGGTGGGGCCGGGGGGCCAAGTCTTTGCGGGATGTGGAGATGCAAGAAGAGAGAGAAACCTAACAGGAGACTGATGGGAGGTTCAGGTGTGGACATACTCAGGGGTGAGAAGATGCACTAGGAGGAAGTCTGAGAGAAGCTGTAAGATAGAGGGAGATGTAGACACGGAGAAAACAGGGCGGACAGCTTCAGGAAGAGAAAAATTATGGGTGGTAAGGAAGGGAGGCATAATCAAGTATTAAGGTGTCACCAGATGGGGGACCCAGACCCCTAAGGGTAAGGCACTGAGGAACACAGAAGCAGTGAGACCACTGAGCAGAAAGGACTTGGGGGTGGACCCGGGAGGAAGGAGCCAAACTCCTGTTGCCAGCTTTCTCCAGGGCAGGCTTTTTGCTCAGATGCCGTCAGCCCTGCAAGCCCTGCCCCTGAAGCATTCTGCCCTAGCTGTCCCACATGCTCTGGAGACAACTTCTTCCTCCACTGCACCTGTCATCCCAAGACGACAGTCCCAGGCCTCACTCAGGAATTCAGCTTTTACCTCTTAGGATGGCAGCAGAAAAGAGGCACTAATAGCGCAGAACTATAGACGGCACTGTATCTACCGAACCCGGGTCTGCTGGCCCTCACTCCAGGTCCTTGTGGCCTTGGACATGTCATGTGACCGTCACTGAACTCTTTTCACCATCTCTCATATGGGCATGAGGCCGCCTTCTCTGTAGGCCTGTTGCAGCACCCAGTGAGACTGCCGAGTGAGCTGCAGAGTGTTCACCCCAAGTCCCTACATATGCATGGTGCTCAAAAGGATACAGGAAGCTTCATTCACACACGTATGTAAGGCAACATGACAGAGGAAATCTGAGGTGAACTCTCCATGTTGGAAGCTATGGACGTGTGTGGGGGGTACACGAAGCTTCATTCACACACGTATGTAAGGCAACATGACAGAGGAAATCTGAGGTGAACTCTCCATGTTGGAAGCTATGGATGTGTGTGGGGGGTACACGAAGCTTCATTCACACACGTATGTAAGGCAACATGACAGAGGAAATCTGAGGTGAACTCTCCATGTTGGAAGCTATGGATGTGTGTGGGGGGGTTGCGTAGGGGCTGTCTTCCCTGCAAAGACAAGAGGAACAGGCCTTGGGAATGGAGAAAATGATTATACCTTTATGGTTTATTGTTATTTTGTATTTTATAGGCATCTTCTTTTTCAGATTGTGGATCACAAATTTCTTTCTATCCTTAGGCAGACTTCGAGGTTCTGAGGGGAGAGAGGTTTGGAGGGTAGGTTAGACGCAGGGGCTGGGGCTAGTCCTTGAGGGTGAGGGGAGGGCCTGGAGAAGCCGGGAAACAGTGGGCTTGGCAGGAGAGGGGTTGACATATGTGGGGAGCCCTGGGGACCCAACCAGGCAAATGGCTGGCAGGGAGAGTAGACAGTGTTAACTCTTGCTGTGCCACACTGCCTGACCCTTCTCTGAGAGGGGCTGGGGTTGAGGAGTTATTGTGTCAGCTGCTGGGGGTGTGTTGGGTCCCAGGGGCCAAGGCAGGCAAGAAAAGCCGGAGCAGGAGCTACCGTCACTTGGAAATGGCAGCCATGCTTTAGTGTGTCTTCACCTTGGTCTCCACACGGTCTCTGTCAGTCCGTCTTTCTGTCTCTACCTCTCTGTGCCTCTAGAAGGTGACAGCGGGTCTGCACTCTGGCTAACTACACAATCTGTCACTCTCTGCGCTGCCAGCCCAGCTGGAGGCCCCCCTTCTCAGCACCCAGCCCAAGCCCTCTGCCCCTGGCCCCTAGGCCTTATCGCCTTTGTCTCCTAAGGCGGCCTCCCCTTTCTTCTTTCTCTTCGCTCACCTCAGAGCCCATCTCCAATCTCATTACAGCCTCAGCCTCCAACCACTGTACCCCAGCCCCCAGCCCCCTCCCTCCCCTCCCCCACCCATCTGTCTCCCCTGAAGCTCTCCTCTTTGTGTTGTCCCATCTGTCACCACCAGCGCTGGGTCTACTCCCCTCCTGGCCACACCCGCCTGGCCTTTCTCCCCTTGGGCTCAGCTCCCTCTCCCATCCCTTCCTCCTTTGGGCCTACTAGGAACCCAACTTCCTGTTTCCTTTCACGGTCTTTTTCAGGGTGTCCCCCTCACGTCATGTTTTAGTCCCGCCCCTGTAGTATCTCTGACTTGTGAGTTGGGGGAAGAGCGAGGACTCCAGGGTCCCAGCCCCTAAGCCCTGAGCAACCACTTAGTTGGGACAGAGGATGGCAATGCCGGCTCACAGTTGCATCATCTCGGTGAGTGACTTTTCCTAGGCCCCTGAGATGACTCCACTCGGGCTCCATGTCCCCTCTTTGGGCCCAGGGCTTACACTGCCCTTCTCCACCACAGCAGTGTGAGGCTCCCGGGCCTTGTAAGTCTGAATCCATGAGGAATAAACATTTACCCAGAAGCCCACTAGGACCCCTGACCTCCCAAGTGCTTCTGATTCTTCAGCGCTTCTCTTTTCTTTTTTCTTCCTTTTTTTTTTTTTTCTTTTTTCCTTTTCGTCTTTTCAAGACAGGGTTTCTCTATGTAACAGCCCTGCTGTTCCTGGAACTCTCTGTAGACCAGGCTGGCCTCGAACTCACAGAGATCCACCTGCGTCTGCCTCCCGAGTGCTGGGATTAAAGGCGTGTGCCACCAACGCCTGGCTTCTTTTCTTTTCTTTCTTTCTTTCTTTCTTTCTTTCTTTCTTTCTTTCTTTTTTTTTTTTTTTTGAGACAGGGTTTCTCTGTATTGTTTTGGAGGCTGTCCTGGAACTCACTTTGTAGACCAGGCTGGCCTTGAACTCACAGAGATCCGCCTGCCTCTGCCTCCCGAGTGCTGGGATTAAAGGTCTGCGCCACCAATGTCCGGCTGATCCTTGTGCTATCTTGGGAGTTCATGAGTTG